TATATATATATAGACACACACACACATGACACGTATTTTATAAAATACTTCATATCTATGTGTAAGATGAAAGTGACTATACACTCACTTGATCAGAAGATGATCGGGCAGCACTACGACTTGCAAAAGTAGTATTCCTCCGTAGATCTGGAAGATCTTTAGGCTCCTCGCGGGTAGAGCTTTGGCTCGGGAATCTCACTTCTCGGGATCCTCAGGGCTTCGGAACTTGCTTCGGGGCTCGGGAATGATACCGGGGCTTCGGGATATAATTGGCACGCAAATCGAGGCAAAAACTAGAGAGAATAAAGAGTTTGAACAAAAGAAATCGGTAGCTCTCGCATTCTATTTATAGGCTGCTGGGTATGGGATTACGCTGGGTGTAATTTCCAAGTACGCTGGGCGTACTCAGTATGCTGGGCGTAATTTCCAAGTACGTTGGGCGTAATTTTGGTTACGCTGGGCGTACGCTTTGGATAAGCTTTGGTATGTGTGCCACGATCTTCAAAAATTCATAACTTTCGCATACGAGCTCCGTTTTCGACGTTATTTATATCCACGCGTAGGTGAGATTATGCTCTACAACTATCGTTTAGACTCTTTTGGCTAAATTTGACTTTATTTTTTATTAGTTATTTTTAGTAGGCCGGGACAGAAAAACTTTGTTAGAAATTCATAACTTCTTCGTCCGACGTCCGTTTTTGTCTGTCTTTTTACCGTTGCACTAATAATGATGATATCTTCAATTCCTGTTTAGATTGTTTCGGCTAAAAACAGCTCGATCTCAAATTGAGTATTCGGGTAGCATACCGCTAAATCGAAACTTAGAAAAATCATAACTTACTCATACGAAGTCAGATTTGGACGTTCTTTTTATGCACGCTCACGGTTTACTGAACTCTAAAACTTTCATTTAGATCACTAAAGCTAAATATTGCTCTAACATAAATTCACTATTTACGTCGCGTTGTGTCGTGCCGGTTCTGTCGCGAAACTTCGACAGGTCATAACTTCTTCGTTATAACTCGGATTTCGGTGTTCTTTATATGCACGGAAACCTTGTGACATATACTAAAACTTAATTAAGGTTATTCATTCTAAATAATCTTTTGTCGAAAAGTCATTTTCGACCCCTATTATCATTAAATTGACCAGCACTAATCTACGGGCGTTACAATTATTTCCCCCTTAGGATGATTACGTCCTGGAATCATCAATGAAATAAGATTCGTATACTGACTCCATACGTTAGCTCTCCATCCTAAGTAATAACCGTGATGCCCAATCTTTCATCTGCTCTTCATACCATGTTGGACTTTCAATCGTAACCTTCAAGTTACAAAATAAATCCTTATTGTGGACTCCTTCTTCTTCTCAGGATAAATACATTCCTTTATCTATTGTAATAGACCGATGGGTTGTGTCCCAATGACCTCTCATCGTAGTCGGACTCAATTTGATGTGATCGCTAGGGTCAGAATATCAACCATCTTTTTAGTCATTACCGAAACAATGGTAACGACATTCTTGAACATAAACGAACTCAATTACAAGCTTCTTGGTAACCTTGTGACTTTCCCTGATCCAAGCGTGAGTCCTGTGCTTCCAGTCGTATAAATCTCTACTACTATTCACACCTACTCATACTCGTCCCAAGTATTGTCTCGCAGTCCCCAAGTGCTAAAATCACAAAACAATTTAACACATACGAATGTGTCCAATTAATCATAAAAATTTTCCTAGACTCTACTAGGACTTCTTCCATTCGTATTTTCTATCATCAATTCTAATTCAACTCGGTTGGTGATGGAAATTCTAGGCGATGGACAACTTCAAGAATTATGCCTACCGTTCCATCATCCCGCCAATCGAAGGTGTACTTCAGACGTACCGTACTCTTCTAAATGCACTGCTTGACATATACTAACGACAAGACACCACTCTTACAATATCTTCCGATAGGTGTCATTCACTATCATAAGCCTTTTTTATTTCCTCCGTTTACTCAATTTTTGCTACGAGCCTTCACCATGGCGTTACATTCACGGAAGCATGCGTCCAACGCATCAAGACGAGAATATAGATAGAAAAGATTTATACGTGTAATACTCCTTATTACTCCGAAAGTTACATGCCAGTTCTAATATCGTAATTAAACGTTTAGAAACCTGAGCACGTAAAATTTCCGGATCCGGTCGGCAACAGACCATAGATCCGAACAAATAATATCACATATGACAATCATATAACATTTAGCACATAAAAGCTTTTTAGGCATCTTTCCTAAAATATACTAGTGCTCGTGTCTAAAATATGGTAGACACTCATCTCACGATCATCACTTAGCATTCTAAGTTTGAGTCTAAAAATTTCCTACAAATTCCTAGTCCGCTTAAACTAATGTTCTGATACCAAATGTGACATCCCCAATTTCACGGCCAGAAAAGACCGATTTGTTTATGCTTTGTTTTAAAATCAAAGTTATCTTTTATAGAAAACAGTTGCGGAATTTGTCCCAAAAACAAAATATGATAACCATTTATCAAAAATATTTCTCAATAAGAATGTATTTTTATTAAATAATAAAACCTCGAGATGTCATGTTCCGATACAGATCAAAAACATAAACAATAAAATAGACCTTACAACAGTCATTTATAACCACTGGTTTATAATCCAAAATCTCTCGTCAAGTCCACCAACTTATACTCTTGTGCCATACTTGTAATGTAAAGAAAACTGAGTGGGTCAGGCTTGGGAGCCTGGTGAACATATAGGATTTTCAACCCACAATAACATAATTATTATATTTAATCAACAAACAATCAACCCAATTACCCATCCCCGTTATCTTCTTAAGTTTTTACCCTAAGAACCAACTATCCTTCATTCATTTATTCCTAAGGATTTACTTAAGGATTTGGCACGAAGTCCATTGCTGCCAAAGTTTATTTATCAGGTACTAAATCCATAGCTATCAGGTGCTAACTCCATAGTCACCAAGGTTCACTTAACAAGTGCTAACTCCATAGTCGCCATGGTTTACTTGACAAACACTAACTCCATAGTCGCCATGGTTTACTTGAGAAACGCTAACTCCATAGTCGCCAAGGTTTACTCAACGTGCGCTAACTCCATAGTCACCAAGGTTTATACAATAGGCGCTAACTCCATCGTCACCAAGGTTTATACAATAGGTTCTAACTCCATAGTCACCAACTATCCCATCTACCCATGTTCTACCTAACATTTTCGTAGATATATTACTTATACAGTTTAAATCATTTAACACCTGTATAAAACATCAATTCCACGCCCGTCTCAAATAGACAAATAATATATAAACACATAGCACGTATTTCATAGCAAATACTTCATATTTATGTGTTAGAAGAAAGTAACTACACACTCACGCATATAAACAACAATATATATATATACACACACACACACACACACAACACGTATTTTATAAAATACTTCATATCTATATGTATGATGAAAGTAACTATACACTCACTTGATCAGAAGATGATCGGGCAGCACTACGACTTGCAGAAGTAAATATTCCTCCGTAGATCTTTCCAAAAACCGGCCTCCTCGCGGGCAAGGCTTCGGCTCGGTAATCTCAGTTCTCGGGATCCTCGGGGCTTCAGAACTTGCTTCGGGGCTCGGGAATGATATCGGGGCTTCGGGATATAATTGGCACGCAAATCGAGGCAAAAACTAGAGAGAAGAAAGAGTTGAACAAAAGAAATCGGCAGCTCTCGCATTCTATTTATAGGCTGCTGGGTCTGGGATTACACTGGGCTTAATTTCCAAGTACGTTGGGCGTACTCAGTATGCTGGGTGTAATTTCCAAGTACGCTGGGCGTAATTTTGGTTACGCTGGGTGTACGCTTTGGATAAGCTTTGGTATGTGTGCCACAATCTTCAAAAATTCATAACTTTCGCATACAAGCTCCATTTCCGACGTTCTTTATATCCACGCGTAGGTGAGATTATGCTCTACAACTTTCATTTAGACTCTGTTGGCTAAATTTGAATTTATTTTTTATTATTTATTTTTAGTAGGCCGGGACAGAAAAACTTCATTAGAAATTCATAACTTCTTCGTTCGACGTCCGTTTTTTCTGTCTTTTTACCGTTGCACTGCTAATGACGAGATCTTTGATTCTTGTATAGATTGTTTTGGCTAAAAACCGCTTGATCTTAAATCGAGTATTCAGGCTGCATACCGCTAAGTCGAAACTTAGAAAAATCATAACTTCCTCATACGAAGTCAGATTTGGACGTTCTTTTTATGCACGATCACGGTTTAATGAACTCTACAACTTTCATTTAGATCACTAAAGCCAAATATCCCTCTAACGTAAATTCACTATTTACGTCGCGTTGTGTCGTGCTGGTTCTGTCGCGAAACTTCGACATGTCATAACTTCTTTGTTATAACTCGGATGTCGACGTTCTTTATATGCACGGAAACCTTGTGACATATACTAAAACTTAGTTAAGGTTACTCATTCCACTACTAGAAAAACAGCCTTTTACGACGCTCATTGCGCGTCGTAAAAGGCTCAGACGACGCGTAAATGCGCGTCAAGGAAGGCCCTGTCATAAGAGAGACGACGCGCATTTACGACGCTCATTAAAGACGCGCAATTATGACGCGCGTTTACGACACGCAATGCGTATCAAGGAAGGCCCTGTCATAAAGGAAGACGACACGCAATTACGTGTCGTAACCTTACGACGCGCGTGTTAATGACATGCAATGCGTATCAAGAAAGCCCCTGTCAAGAAAGGCCATGTCATAAATGAAGATGACATACATTTTTGCGTATCGTAAATTTAAATATTTAAAAAAATATATATTTATATATTTATTAATTTTTAAATTAAATTTGCATTTAATGTGTCATAATAGAAATAAAATACCATATACAAAAAAAATACAATCCATTGCATAAACTTTAATGTCATACAATTCTATTTCTTACAATATATAAATTTGCATTCATCTAATCTATTCTATGTTTCATACTAACAATTGAAATGAACAATACAACACTTGCATTTTCAGCATCTTATCTCTTTCGGCTTGAGCTTTCTTTTCCACTTCTAACTCGACAGCTGTTCGCTTTCATCAACCCTGTAAACACAACACAAAATCACTTGTCATTTTCATTCTACTTTTATGTTTACTAGTCAATCCTTCAACTTTCTTTACTAATTAGATTCACCTGGCACCAATATTGCTGATGTTTACTAGTCAATCCTTCAATCTATCATATGAAGTATGAAAAATATGAACAATAGGAAATGGAAGTTCAAAATCCTAACCAAAAATCCCAGATATATAACATTATGCCCTCCTGGTGCTTGTCCTCCTGACAACACAACTCCTACCTTCAAGGCAGATCTTGATTCATTAGATTCACCTGGCACCAAATCAGAAAAGAAAACCAACCAAACCATTACATTGTTGTGATTTGCATTTATCCCTACAATTTAACTTTAATAGCATTAAAAAAAATATGTTCAAACAGATCCACCATTAGGGAGAGAAGGAAATGGTGAATGTGTTTCTTGGGATGAATGATACAAGAGAGAGCCTAAATTTATACTAGAGCCTACCTCACTAAACAATGAAAATACATAACAAGAAAAGATAAGCATTAACTTTACAGCTAATTTACAGCCAATATACAATAAGAGTTTAATGAAAAAACTAAATTCCACAGTTGAGAATCACGTAACTGAGACAAGCGGTGGACGCGTGTTCCAAGCTGATCCAAAAGGGCAGATGGGTAATTTCACCAACAAAAAGGGCATTATTGATGAAAAGTGTGCTAACCTTATTTTAGAAGACAGATCCTTAGATGAATCTGCTTGATGCTCTTGGCCAGGGACCACTAAAGACATCTTTTGGGTAAGATTCACGCCATCTTTTCCAAATACCAATCACACTAAACTTTGACATAAATTCAACCTAAAACAACATAAAAAATATATATAAACTTACAATTGGTGATGATAAAGAATTTTACTTAATTCCAAATAACATAAAAGTAATTGCTTACCATGGACCCCGCATAAAGAGGAGCAAATAGTGCATTGAGGAGGCCATGAACATGTACAGATTAAATTAAGAATCAACAAGAAATGTGAAACATTTTTAGAAAAAAAAGGAATTGAAAGTAATTATTTTAATGTTTATTTAAGGATATGGTGTAATGGAAGACAATGTAGAAAACGATCACTGGATGTGTATTCCCAAGCTATTGATAATGTTTTCACCTCAAATTATGCAGGAAAACAGCAATTAGAAGATCACAGATACGTTTTTTCTTAAAAAATATACGAATATTTCACAAGTTTGGTTTTTAAAGTATTTTCTTCCAAAACTTTAAATTACCTGTGCTAAAATGCTACTGTGTGTATGAACAACTCCTTTAGGTTTCCCAGTTGTTCCACTAGTATACAAAATCAATGTTGGATCATCGTCTGTATGAATAAGACAATTTTATATTATTATTGTATATGAAATTATATATATATATATATATATATATATATATATATATATATATATAAAAGAACATGGATATATACCTTTTATGTTATTTGCAAATACATTCTCTTTTTGATGTACAACACCATTATCTACTGCTTGTGAAGTCATAGTAGGAACATTTGGTATTAGAGAAAATTGAGCTGTAGTTTTAGCTGCAACTTTTTGCATAAGCTCCCTGTGATCATCAGTACTCAAAATCATGGACACATCCTTCAAAACTCAAATTAACAATGTTGTATTATTAGGAGAATAAAATTGTATCTTACAAAGGCCACATAAACCACATTAAAAAAAGGGTATGTTAATTGAATAAGGAGAAAAGAGTCATTTTATTGAATTTCATTTCTTCCTATTAAAGAAATTTTAGCAATATCATCCAAATACAAAGCAATTTCTTCCAAATAAAAAACATAGGAAACTAGAAAAGTTTAAGGTTGTTTTGAGAGCAAACCGAGTCAGTCATGACATGTAACAACTCAGCTTCAGGGTAACTGAGTGCAAGTGGAACAGCTACACCTGCATTTAACCATATTGCAAGTACTCCAGCAACAAACTCAGCACAAGGTTTAGCCACAACACCTATTCTAGTTATAAGAATGAAGAAATAATAGTGTTTGGGATCTATGGTGTTGATATTGCAAAGAAAACAAAGGCCCATTTGATTCACATAATCTATTTGGAAGGAATGGAATATGTCAAAGCAATTGGAATCTGAAAGAATTGCAATCTGTTAATTGTTTGGTTGGCAGAAAATGGGAAGGAAATCAATCACAATCCTTAGTTTAGCAACCAAAAAAACAAAATGGAATTCAAGATTCCAATTCCTTCAGATTCCCACAGAATCCACGAACCAAAACTTATGTTCAATATTCATAATCTATGTTTCCACTAGAAGAAACTACAAAAATGGAATTCAAGATTCCAATTCCTTCAGATTCCCTTTATTTTTCTTTTTCTCTTTATTTATCTTTAACCTCTCTATCACGACCCTTTTCCCTGTCCCTTTCACTCCCAGGTCTTTCTGATCTTGCTTCCACTTCGATGTCGCCTTTTCATCATATTGTTGATGATTTATAACCTGCAAACCACGACAATACATAAGTAGCTCCATTCATCATGGTAAATTTAGAGTTTAGAGGATGATTCCCAAATTAGTTAGGGTTTATCAGTGAAAAAGGAAATATCTTCAAATATTATATGTAAAGAGGAAGAAATAGAAACCTCAGGAGCCATCCATCTGTAAGTTCCAGTCTCTGCTGTCATACTCCCCCTTGACTCAAAACCGGGCAACCCCAAAATCCGCCACCTTTACAACCTAAAATTAAAATGTTAAATTAAATTTAAAAAAACAGAGAAACAGTTAAGAAGCTAATAAGTCAAAGTGTAATTAATGCCTTTATAGTTTTTACATTGAGTGTCGATGAGCAAATTTGCAGTCTTGAGAGCCCTATGAATTATGTTGGTTTCTCATTTGAGGCGTCCAACTCCTGAGAAGGCCTCTGCCTCTGATCAAGAAAAAGTGGAGGAGGGTCAGCAGACAAAAAATGAGTCCCAAGAATTAGCTGGGATGGTGCTTGAAACTGAAATTGCTGGTGAAAGAAACAGTGGTATCGTAAATCAAAACCACTGTAATCGGTGGATTTATTTACAAGAATTAGAAATTATTGACTTACCTCAAGTTGACCTTGTAGCGACATAACGTAATTGATGATTTTATCGACCATAAGTGCTTTTCCAGTGACCTAAGAACATGATTTCACATTTTGATTTCACCGACCATGAGTACTTTTCGAGTGACCTAAGAACACGATTCCGAATTGGCGATGGAGACGAACCAGAAACCTTTAGAGGTGGCGACCTGGCGGTGGTGAATTCTCTTTCTACAACACCGGCGGCTCTGATTTTGATAACACTGACGGTGAAGGATTCTCTTTCTATGACACCGGTGGCTCTCAATTTGATTGAGGTAGAAGACGAAGCAGTAAGCGGTGGAATGTATTTAGGACTTATGAATGGGCGTTGGGAAGAAGTAGACGATAACGGAGTCGGGGTTGCGTTTCTGGAGGCTTCGTATAGGGCGGTGGTGGTGAAAGGGTTTTGGCTCTGAACAGTAAAGAACAAAGACGGTGAGGTTAGTGTAGTAATTTGGAAGATAGATGGTAATGGGGAAGAACGGTCGTCTTTCATTGGAAGTCGACGGCGGTGGGAGACACTCAGAAGGGGCGAAGAAGCAGCTGATATTGGAAGGCGAATAGAGGTTTAAGAATCAAGAGAGAAGAAAGAAAGAAATGGGGTTTTCGGCGGGGAAGAGCTAGGGGTTTCAGCCGGTGGAAACAAAGCGGGCTTTTTAATTTTTGGATTTCATTTCCCCCTCGGATGAAACGCGTGTTTCATTAAAATTTATAAAGCGACATGGTTAGACGACACACATTTTATTTAAGATGCCCTCCGTGTTTTTATTTTTATTTTTTATTAGACACTAATTTAAGGGCGCGCAAAAATCCGTGCCCTCTATGCTTCATATTTTGGAAAACTGACATCAATTTTTAGGGCACGCTCAAATGCGTGTTCTCTATCAGCGCGTGTCATTGATTACACGTTGTAAAAGGCTGTTTTTCTAGTAGTGTTCTAAATAATCTTTTGTCGAAAAGTCGTTTTCGACCCCTATTATCTCTAAATTGACTAGCCCTAAACTACGGGCGTTAGAAAATTTCATTTTTAAAACCAACAGAAACATCATTCATTCATTTCAGAATCCATAAAAAATGTGATAATCTATAAAACAGTTATCAGAGTACAAATCATGTCATAAAATGTGGAATGCTAGTGGATGTGGTGCGATCATGTCGAACCCTTCCCTTTCGAATTGGAAGTACCTGAAACCATAAACATAAGACTTTAAGCACAAAGCTTAGTGAATTTCCCCAAAAATACCCCATACCAAACATACATAACAACTTGAAACTAAAACTGGGTCTATTTCACCCCCTTCGGTATCTTTCAACCGGTATTGGGTCTATTTCACCCCTTCAATATCTTTCAAACAATATTAGGTCTATTTCACCCCCTTCGGTATCTTTCAGATGATACTGGATCTACTTCACCCCTACAGCTAAGCATACAATCATATCAACAAGAGTTACAAAGATAACAAGCATATACATACATATCAGCAAGTTTTACAAAGACAACTATCATCTTACAAACATAATCTAGTGGGCCGTGATGGTGCCTTTGACCCATGAGTTTAGTAAAGAAACTCACCTAACAAATGATGATACAATTCCTATTGCCGTGAATACAAATGCTATAAACCTCCTATACAACCATACAAAGTACAACCTTATCTTCCTTTCCAAACTAGGGGTTTGACCAAAAGTCACTGCAAGTCAAAAGTCAAAGTCAACTGTCAAGGTTGACTCTCCACATCATGGCCATCCTTGGCCATGTTATGGCCTTCAAACTACAAAACAAACGTGTTTTCCCTAGTCGCCACACCGTGGCCAATCTAGGCCACGTTGTGGGAACTGGTTCAAAGTGTCTCAATGGGTTAAGCCAAATCCTTTAACCCCATAGGTTCCAAGGTCCAAATTTGATCATTATTATGGTCTAAATTGATAAAATTTCCAACTTTATCCCTTAAGACCCACCAAGAGGTCTAGATATCAAGTTTATATTCTATAAAACATAACTATGGCATAGACTTAATCAAGAATCACTTAATCCCTTAAGTCTCAAGCCGATTTGCTCTATAAGGGATTATGATACTAAAACATCATAAAAATTGGTGCTTTTTGGACATGCATGTCTTAGACTCAACTTAGGTCAAAATGGGGGTTTATGGCCAAAATCTTATGCATGGCTCAAACAACCCAACAAACTTCAGATCCAAATCATGAACTGATCCAAATGATCTAGAGATTCATAAAGTTGCAACCTTTATGAAATCTCACCATTCCATCTAATAAGATCGATAAGAAAATGGGACAAAATACAAGATCTAACACTCTATAATAAAAAAGGTGGAACCTTGAACACTTACAAGGTTCTAGAATTGAGATAGGGACTCTCTTGCTGATTCTTGGATTACTTCTTCTGGCTTCTTCCTTTAAGACCTCTCAAAAGCACTCAAGAAAGATTCAACAGTAGAGGAAAAGGATTTAGAGTTTCTTCTAAGTTTAAGAGGGTGGTGGAGGCTGAGGGTGAGCAAACCATAGCCTCCTCATTCCTTTAAATAGGTGAAAAACACGAAAAAATAGGGTTTAAGATGCCAGCGGCGGCCACATGGTGGCCCTCCTTACCACGTCATGGCGATTCAAAAAGACTCACGATGAGAAAATGACTCGCCACATCGTGGTGATTCCCTAAAATCAAGTCTTAAATAAAAATAAAACATACCTCAGAACCGGATGTTACAACTCTCCTCGACTTGAATCAGACTTCATCCTCAAAGTCCGTTGCTACACATAGCTCCAGATAGTGCTCTCTCATTTCCTCCTCAGGCTCCCAAGTCCACTATGAGCCCCTTCAGTGCTTCCATTTCACCTTCACCAGGTTCAACTCCTTGTTTCTTAGGTCTTTGGTCTTCCTATCGAGGATCATATCTAGTCTCTATGTAGTTATGTTGCTCATCCACTTGAATGTCCTCCAAAGGCACCATTACGGAATCATCAACCAAACACTTCCACAGTTGAGATACTCAAAAAGTGTTGTAGATCTGATTGAGCTCTTCGGGCAATACCAAATGATATGCAACCTTGCCCACCCGGGCAATAAACCTGAAAAGATTAATATATCTGGGGCCTAGCTTCCTGAACCGGATGACACCTTTCCAAGGTGACACCATTAGGGGTACCATATCTCCCTCCTGAAACTCCAAATCATATTGGTGCCTATCTGCATAGCTCTTTTGTTGACTCTGCACGGTCTGCAATCCCTTCCTTGACTATCCCAAAAATCATTGTGGTAGTGTTAAGGATGCCCCTCGTAACCTCGGCTACAATAAGCTCGCGCAGCCTCTCGTCAATGGGCTTGGTACCGTCGCTCGACCCAGATCCAGATCCAGATCCGGATCCCCCTGCTCCATGTCGTTTCATCACCATACTGCACTAAAATACCATAAACATAATGATCAGTATATCCAAAAAGAGGATCCTTCCACACTGGTTCTCCTTAAAGCTTCCAAATCTAACATTGGTTCGGGTATCGATCCTATGTTTTCAGTAGTACGGGCCCAAAACTACCTTCCACACCTACCTGTACCTTCCCCAAGTCTCTACCTGATAACTCTAATTCGTCCCAGAAAAAAACATATCTCACAGGTTACCGCATAACTCAAATCCTAGGCTATCCTAAGATTTGCTCAATCCACATCAAAACAGAAATCAGATCAATCATAACAGGTTGCCTTATGCATTCAAATTATACGCAGAACAGGATCAAATCGGCTTTTGAATAATAGACCCTACCCTAGGAACACAACCATACAAGGAATAGTAAATAACGCCAAATCAATCATTCTAAGGCTATAAGATCCTAACCGCATACAATTTTTAAAGCATACACATAGCAAAATCCATTCGACTATCATAATCCAAATGTCAGTATAGCATGACTAACATATTGGGGAACCACTTACTTGGGCTCGGCCGATTACACGCATTGCACTCTCATTTTTCAGTTTAAGAAGTTTTAACTTTGATTTTTGAAAACAATTTTACCATTTCCTTAGTTTAAGTCCTAACGCACCCGAGAGTGTGCCCGAATCCCTCAAACCAAGGCTCTGATACCAACTTGTAACAACCCAAATTTCCAATATATATTTTTTCATTTTTAATTAACGAAATCGTTTCCAATAAACATAAAATACCAATCACAATTGTTTTCAAAATCCATAGTATCAAACATGTTATTCATAATATCAGAGTGTCCCCAATATAATCGCCGGAGAGTGCATGCGGCACCATCAAGTTGGGCCCTTTCCCTTAGGCTCTGGAGTACATGAAAAAACCAACAAACTGTAAGCTAATGCTTAGTGAGTTCCCCTGGGCATACCCCATACAAATCACATAATCACATAATCCATATTAGCTCCATAAGCTACACATACCACATAAGCCATGCATACAAATGTATAAGGATGCCATGGAAACCCTCCAAGGTCTTATACTGAGTGCCACTGGAACCACCACGTGGTCTTAACTACTTGCCATTAGAACCCCCACATGGTCTTCACTAACTTCCATGGGAACCCCCACATGGTC